TGCATGCATGCATGCATGCATCTCATCTGCATGCTTGCACGCGCCGCGTTCCTGTATGAGTTGTTGATGTCTGATACCGCGCGTAGGTGCGAGGCGTGAGTGTTGTGCTGCATGGCTGCTGACGCGTTGGATCTCCTCACACGCATGCTGCTGCTGCTGCTGCTGCTGCACAGCTGCAAGGTTGGGACACGGGAGAGGCCAGGCTTCCTTGCCGATGACCCACAATCATCACCTTTGCATCAAGACCATGGGCCCGCCTTGCTCGCCCCACTACAGCTTTTTCAACGAGATTGAGATTGGGATTCTCGCGGCGCTGCTGATCTCCGCGTTCGGAGGTGCCACACCATGTATGCAGACGAAGGTCTGCTTCCCGATGCGCAACAAAAGGTGGCTGAGACGCGCCTGGACCCCAACTGCTCCCGCTACACTTCGCTCGTGCCTGGGCTACCAGCAACGTCTCGCACTGCACTACAGCATACAGCAAGCAAGCAGTCAACAATGCTGCCGGAACTGGCCTTCGAAGCGCTCGAAAGTGGCCTGCCCTTCGAAAGTATAAAGAGGAGCCATGATGCGCGGCATTCCTCGTTGACTGATTCGCTCCCCTAGCTTGCCCACAGCATCTCCACCCTCAAGACCCTGCCACTATGCGCTTTGCTCCTCTTTGCGCTCTCGTGGCCCTGGCCGCCTCACTCTCCGTAGTCAGTGCAGCGCCCTCTAGCTTCACAGGCGCAGATGCGCTGCTGAACAAGCGTCAAGTCAACGTGCTCACTGCAGGCGGCACGCTCGGCAAGGGCAAAAAATGCTCGACTTCGGGACAATGCAAGACGAATCTGTACTGCAGCAAGAGCAAGTGCGCTTCTATTCAAGGTGTGGGAGGCGCTTGCTACAAGAACGTTGGTTGCAAGTCGAACAGCTGCGACCTCAAGGCTGGCAAATGCCTCGGTTCTGTCGGCGAGAGTTGCAAGGCTTCCGCTTCTTGCGCTTCGGGCTACTGCGGCAAATCCAAGTGCGCTGCGAAAGCTGCCGTAGGCGAGGCCTGCTACAAGAACGTGAGTGGAGCATCGCATTTTGCTTTGTTTTGTTCTTGCGCCCCGCTCATCTCCTTACAATTCTGTGTCGCTCTTTGAATGTCTGCAGATCGGCTGCGCAAGCAACATCTGCACCGCGGGTAAATGCGCCGCTTCTTCCACCACCCAGCCGAGCGGAGGCGGTGGCGGCTCTACGCTCAAGCCTGTGCCTGCTCACGTCACCCGCCTGGATGACTTCTCGAACGGCCTCGGAGTGTGGACATCCACGGGTGCCGTCAAGGTAGTCACCGACGTCAACGGTGACAAGTCGGTACAAGCCGCCGCCGCCGAACAGGACGCATCTTTCGGCAGGGATATACCTGCATCTGCAGGGACGAGGAAGCGCGACGAGCTGGGCAAGCGTCAGACTTACAACTCGTACACTGTTCAATTCACTTTCCAATATCAGGTGCTGCCGGGTGCCGAACTGAGTCAAGACGAGGAACACCTTGGGTGCGACATCCATGCGCTGACCAATCGGGGAGAATCTAACAGCTTCAGGATAAGAAAGACCATGGTTGGCGCTTCGGCCTTTGCTGTCGGCAAGGTCAGCTACGTCGTCGCACCTCCCAATGACGGGACGATTTCTCATGTCGACATGATCGTCCACTGCACCACGGACTCTTCGGCCACGGTCAATATCAAGGATATCCAATTCACCTACACCGATGCTAGCGGCAGCCCCGTAGACGGATCAGTAGCACCATCTGCAACTGTCGCCCGACAAGAGCAGCACGAGAACCTGCTGGGTGCTGGTGCCGGCTTTGAGAACGGCGGTGGGGGCTGGTATGTCAGCGGCGGCAACCCCGATCGCGTCTCTTTCATCCAGACCTCCCTCGCTCGCAGCGGTGGATGGGCAGCGTGAGTTGGAAAGGGCGTCTTGACATCTCTTGGTACGATTGGATCTGACCATCTCGCTCTGAATTTTGCAGTCAAATGATCGCTCAACCCTCTGGCAACAGCGGTGATCAATCGAGCATCAGCCTGAACATTGCCGGGAACCCACCCTCCGGCACGCTGCCCTACGCTGCCTGGATGTGGTACCGGGTCACCGACAAGAAGGACAAGCCAACTTCTGCATGCGATGGTGGTTGCCGCTCGCGCGACTACCAGTGCTACATCGACTTGTGCGTCTTTCCCACCAGCGGAGAACTTGCCACAGCGGGCGGCAACATGTGCGAGTACTATGCTTTCAATTCCGCTCAGTACGATCGATACGAGCTCTTCAATAATGGTCCAGCATCTCTTATACGAGGCGATCCTTCTACTCCGGCAGCGCCCAATCAGATGAACGTTGCATTTTCGTGCGGCTTGGGCGTTGAAAGCGCTACCATCTTGCTTGACGATGCTCGTCTACAGTACGAGGGCAGCGGCACAGACACCGTACGACCCACCACGCCGGCTGCTTCCAGCTCCTCGACAAACCTCATCAAGAATCCCACCTTCACCACCTCCGACAACTGGGTGACAATCAGCAGCGACGGTGCCGGTGTGCAGTCCAGCCCTGATGGTGGGTACGCCTACTTCTCCGAGTACAATAGCGATG